GGACTGTAAGTGTTGAAATGCATGCATAGCATGGGTGAAATGGATGCATAGAGGTAAAAAAGTCTTTTTCATGGCTTTTTTCCTGACTAACAGCTGCTGATACATTCTAGGTATCAGTTAATGGCGTAAAACAACTCTCATTTATTATCTCCAGCTTCTGCAGGACAGAAGTCTGGGCATGGCACAGCTGGGTTCTTTGCTCAGAGACATACTAGGCTGAAATCAAGGTGTTTACCAAACTGCACTTGCATCTGAAAATATACTCTTGCAAGGTCAAACAGGTTGTTGGCAAAGTAAATCCCTCTTGTTGTGGGTTTGAGGGCCCCATTTCCCTGCTGGCAGTTGGCCAGAGGTTGCTCTCAGCTTTTCATGGCCTCACTCAGGTCTCAGTCATATGACCCTCTTACTAGATTGTAGCTCACTTCTTTAAGCAGAGCAAGAAAATCTCCTCCCTACACCCTGCCTACTTCAACTACAAGGAAATCTTATTGCTTTGTGCAGCTGTTAGTGTTATTTCTGCTAGATTTGCTTTCTACAATGTTCCCTGAAATTACTATGAATCATGGACTGTGTTCTATAATGGAAGTACGGAAACCAATTAATTAAAAGGTTATCATAATAATCCTGTCAGAAATAGTGATGGATGTAATATCCATTCATGCGTGTGGACTGCATTGTGAATCACTTGCCAGTTGTACTTTATGGAGCTTATTTTATGATTTAAAATACTGTACTGTACACAGGAGGTATGTTACCTTCTCTTTATTTGTATGTTTACCATATACTTTGATAGTTGAAATGTTATGTACTGGAAGGGCCACTTATATTTCTAGAACAGACTGGATTTTATGCAACCTTTTTTCCTTGAATTAACAGCAATAAAAAATGAAAAACAAACAAAAAAATCTTTAATAAAGATTTAAAAAGGTATTTTCAAAGCAAAGCATTTTATTTCCCATAACTGCTGATACTATCAACCTCTTCCAGGAACTGAGAACATATATATTATGGAGAGTAAAATAGTAAGTGGGAGATAAAAGAGCAACATAATCTATACACACTAGTCTGCTTAATGATATCTCAAATTTTTTTTGACATCCTAATATTATTAATTCCAGATTTCTCTTAGCATACCTTGACAACTCCACTTCTCATATTTATTAGTGTTGTATGGGAAGCTGACATAAGAAACATCAACATATTTCTGTATGTGTGTATACATTACACTGTAATGAAATAAAAATGTATGTTAAACAAATTTATAACATTTGTAATTAATTGTCTCTAAGAAATTGGTAATACAAACAAAGATCATTATGCATAACACTATAGGAAATATTTACTATAGTAAGAAACTAATAGAGAAAAATCAAAGTTTCTTAATAACATTATATTTTAAAATAAGAGATAAGATTCCTGATTTCTTTTAGTTGGTTAATCCTCCAATGGGAAACACTACAAGAATCTATATTTTTATTGTGCTAGATTATAATAAGACAAACTTGAGTAGAAGTATCAGAATCTTCAGCATCATCTGTGGACATTTATTCAAATATCTTAATTCATAAATATTTGCCACCATGGCTTAAAAATTTTTGAAATAGTTTATATCATATTGAACATATAACCATATAATTTTAATTTTAATATACTAAATATATGACTATATAATTTAAATATATTAAATATTGAATATACGACTATATATTTTTTAAATTTGTAGTGCATTTTCAAAATGCAGTAGGAGTAAGTAAGATCCAACTTCTACTCAGGCTAGGAGTAGAATAACATCTAGAAAAATGGTAACAATGACCTGCATAATAATAGTAAGATACTGTCCAAAGTATTTTACATAACTGATATCTATCTACAATGTGAAAATTCCTTTGTGTTAGGAACATTCCAATTCTACTCTTTTAGTTATTTTAAAATATAGCCTAACTTACTGTTGATTATAATCATTTTCTTGTGCTATCAAATATTGTTCATTCTATCCAACTACATTTTTGCACCCATTAGCCATTCCCATTTTATTCCTTGCTCCCTGCTACCCTTCTCAGCCTCTGGTAACCATTGTGCTACTCTCTGTCTCCATAAGATCAACTGTTTTAATATTTAGCTCCCACAAATGAGTGAAAACGTGTGATATTTGTCTTAGCTTATCTCACGTAACATAACATTATCCTCCATCAAAATACTGTGTTTACCCTATAAATATATATAAATATTATATACCCATAATAATCAAGAATAAAAATTTTTAGAAATAATTCATAAATATAATATCTTGTTATTTCTTCATAATAATATGCAACATTTTCTTCAAAATTTTATACAAAGAGAATTAAAGAAGTCAGGAATGGAATTGGCTGGGCGCGGTGGCTCATGCCTATAATCCTAGCACTTTGGGAGGTTGAGGTGGGCGGATCGCTCAAGGTCAGGAGTTCGAAACCAGCTTGAGCAAGGGCGAGACCCGTCTCTACTATAAATAGAAAGAAATTAATTGGCAACTAATATTATAAAAAATTAGCCGGCATGGTGGCGCATGCCTGTAGTCCCAGCTACTCGGGAGGTGGAGGCAGCAGGATTGCTTGAACCCAGGAGTTTGAGGTTGCTGTGAGCTAGGCTGGGCTAGCCTGGCAACAAAACTGTATGAATAAAGGTATGGAATAATTTGGTCAAGATCCAACACTATAGTGTAGTAGTTCAGATTATGGACTCTCTGGCCAGATTATTATTTTTGGATTTAATTTTTGAAAATACACAATGGTGCTAAAATGATTCATACCTCACTGAGTTTTAGAAAATTTTTAAAAAACATAATGAAGGCTAAATTCAAAATGCATAACAAAATGTAGAGAATCAACAAATACTATTTGTTGATTTAGTAATATAAAATAATTTAGTAAAATAAAATCCAAAATAAAATTCAAAAATATATCAACCATATAATATGAATTCCACATAATAAGACATATTTGTACATCATAAACATAACAATACAATTATGAATATATAAGGACATAAAGGGATAAATAGTATATGCATTTTGTAGGTTATAGTATTTTATTTAATATTGCTCTTTAATTATCATCAATACTGTGAACCAGGGTTGAAATGTAATCTTTGTCACTCCAATAGTATTTACCATTTTCATGATGTCATTACTATAGTCAAGAAATCTAACACATATTTTAAACATTCTTTTAGTTCCTTTTATCTATTACTAACCTGAGGGAGATGCATTCATCATCTCAAAAGCTATTTTTTGCTATTAATTTGATACTAATAATTTTGTATGTAGAATGTGTCACATGCTTTAATTTGTCCTTATATTCAGGATTTATGGAGTTTTCCATTTACTGTCATTTACATTTTGTAATGCAAATTGCTTTTTATATCCATTTTTAATAAATAATTTTGTTTTTGATATAAATTGTTTTTGATATAAATTGTTTTGATATAAATTGTTTTTGATATAAATTGGATTGGTACATTTCACAGACACTATTTTCTGGAAGAATTATATAAAAAACTGATTTGACTATTCCTAAATCATTATATTTTCAATATTTCTACTTTCCATTATTATCTAATTTGAAGGACTATATTATATATCTAGCATTCTATGTTGAGACTTTTGGTCATAATGTTTAATTTTGAGTCAATGAAAATATGAATTTCCAATTTGCCTTCCATTATTAGGGGTAACTTTTTAACCTCTAGAATATGCTAAGGGATTAAGTTTCATTATGAGAAATATATTTTCTGTCTGAAAGGTTTCATCGCCTATTCTGAACTTATTTTTATTCAGGGCACTAAGTAAAGTCTAAATGTTCTTTCCATGAGCTGACCATCATTTGCATTACATGAATAGATAAATAAACATAAATCTGGAAGAATGTACAAAATCAATTAACTAAACAAATCATGCATATAAGTCAAAAGATGTAAATTCTAAATGCTAAAAATGCACTCAGCCAAAATTTCTAACAGTTTGCTAACCTAATAATAATTATTTTTATTTAATATAATTTATTTTTATTATTCTTGTAACCTAAGTCAATCTGAGTGCCAAAGGAAACAAATGTGAGAATTCTGGTTCATAGTTATTTTTCAGAGTTTTTAAAGTGAAAAGTATATAACTTTCTTAGATTAGTGTTTATACTAACACATAACTCCAACTTCTCAAAGAGAAAAATCTTTCTAAAATAGAAAAATATAAATAAAATATTTTGTGCTTATTTCATCTTCACAATTCTCAAGTATAGGAATTAAAACATAAAACATTATCAAACAACTTGAAATTATCTAATACAAATAGAATTATTGCTAATAAAAAGGTAGAGTTTTGGCTATTTAAATCTTAATTAAGACAATGAATAACTTACTGTGATTTTCTTCACAGAATGGGTTTTGAATTGCTCTAAAATTTAGAGTGAGTATCCTTATTTATCTGGTAAATATGTCTTAGTCTTTATATCATGATTTCTATCTCTTCTCAAACTTCAAGTGTTTAACCTTTATAAACGAATAAATTAAAGAAAATCATATGCCAGCTCTGTCCTCAAAATATTTAGTTGCTTTCCCATTTAGCAAAGTAACTCTATCTCAATCTGCAGAGGAGGCAATTTAATATTTAAGACATTCTTGAACCTTCACTCCAGTACTTTCTGTGACTGATTATCCCCACCAAGACTGTGAGTACTGTATCATACACTGTATAAATCAGGGCTTTGAATAAATATTTTTTGTTAATTCTCCTCTAAGGCACTGCTCAGCAGTTAATAAGTGGCCTCTGCCAACAAGGAAATAATAAGTTCCAATTTTTTAAAAAAGGGATTTTTATAGGCATGTCTCACACATTATTTTCTTTGACCTTTGCAGCATTTTACAAATGGCTTTATGCAAATTTTTATTTTCTTCTAATTTCCCTTAATATAATGATTAAACCATCCAATTTCAATGGCTAAGGCTAACTTCATATTGTTTCTCTATCCATTCTTTATTGTTCTCTTGGAGTTAACAGTTTGGTTTCACTTCCCTTCCCACAATTTTGTTCATTTTTCCTATCACCCTTATGTTTAGGGTTCACTGTGGAGGATCTGTGAAACGTCATCCGAGAGAGCAATTCCACTGCAAGTTCCAGGCTGAGTCGTCAGGTGAAGGTAAGTCCTTAGGAGGCAATAAACATAAACAGGCTTCTTAATCTATGATTTATTTATTTTAATAATTTTCAATTTTGTTGTTTGTATGCTTATGATAGTATTTATTATTCACTTGTCATGGTTTGGCACATGTGTGTGGTGTGTATGATCAAATCTCTGACACATGCACTTGTTATGTTATTACATCGGTGGTTTGTGGTATCCGTAACTTAGCCTTGGCATTATGCTCAGTCTGTTCTGTTGTCCATCTCAAGTTTATTTTTAGCTGACTGAGTCTGATATTAATTTAGCATGATTCAAGCTGGGCAATAATTTGTCAACTGTTTTTATCAACTGCTAGATTGCATAGTTTCAAATGTCCTTGGTACCGTTTTTTCATCAATTTTCTTAGTAATTCAATTATTTCAATTTCCAGGAGTAATTGTTAGTCAAAACCAAGTGAGATGTAGCCCACTGAGTGTTACATATGTGTTCCTGTTGTCTGAGATCTTCTTTGATGGTTTGTCCATTCCCAGTGGATCTATTGTTCATTTTATTTATATTCCATTAGATATAATTTTAAATGTATAAAAACATTATTAGAAATATAATATTTAGGTACTCATATCAATACTCATATTTAGGAGGGGTAATTAAACTCTATATCTTGGTGGATTATTAAATAGTATGTGCACAAGTGCTAAAATTACCAGAGAAATTAATGTCTTTCAAGATAAGATACTTTGAGGTTATGCAAATGTTCTCCTTAATTTTGTATCCACAAATTTTATCATTAATCATTGGTCTTGAATGTAGCAATTGTTCATATGGCAATATAATAATTTTTAATTTCCAGCATTCCTTCTAGGTATATGATTTGCAATTATTCTGTAGGAAGATGTGTCCTTTATTCATTTATTTAAATCATATGGAAGTATGGTTATTGTATTAGTTTTCTATTGAGGCCAAGAAATATCATACACATCTAGCAGCTTGAAAAAACATATGGCTCGGTATCTCATAGTTTCTTGGATCAGAAGCCTAGACAGTGTGTAACTCAGATGAGTTCTCTGCTACGAGACTCACAAGACAGAAAAGAAGGTATACCATGTTTCCCCGAAAATAAGACAGGGTCTTATATTTATTTTTCTTCAAGAAGACACCTTAGGGCTTATTTTCAGGGGATGTGTTATTTTTTTAAGTACAGTATAACAATCTACATTTATTCAAATATAGTTAAGTCATCTTCTTCTGGCACATGATCATCACTCTCCAAGTCCCGAATTCATCCTGGATTTCTTATGACTCTATTTCCTTTAGAACCATTGGCCCTAATCTCTCATGTCAAGCAATAGAGCTCTCATGGGGCAGGTGAGAAGGGCTGCTAGGCTCCCCAAGGAAATGCACGGGTTGTGCAGATGCGCTGCATAGCCACGCCCATCGCCAGGTCTTATTTCCGGGGTGGGGCTTCTATTGCGCAAATGCTTAGAAATCCTGCTAGGGCTTATTTTATGGGTAGGGCTTATTTTCGGGGAAACACAGTAGCTCAGGCTGAATGCCTGTTTGAAATCCCTTCATGTTCACTGAGGTTGTTGGCTGGACTGAGTTGCCTGTGACTGTGGTACCTAAATTTATTTGGTAAGTTAAATTTACCCAATTTACTTAAATTTGCTGGATATTGACAAGGGGTCATTTTCTACTTAGAGGCCACCCGCATTTCCCCACTCCCAACTTTCAAAGCAAGCATTGGCGGGACAATTCTTCTCGTGCTCTAGTTCTCTCCTCTGCCATCTTCCTCTGCTGCACGTCTCTGATGGAACCTGGATGGAGACAAATATCCCTGCCTTCAGGGGCTCCAGTGGTTACATTGGGCCCATCTGGATACTTTAGGGTAACCCTCGTATTTAAGTTTCATACCCCTAATTGTATCCGAAAAGTCCTTTTTTGACATGCTACATAACAGCCCAGGCGGCAAAGATAATAAGAGTTCAATTCCTGCCTGACATAGTTATTTATTTTATTTAGATTATAAACAAATCATTTTATGTTATATATTGCAGCTTTAGCCGTTAGACATTTTTCAGGTTGGTTGCTATATCCTTTTGTCATGCCTCCTTTCATCTTTTTTTAAGAACTTTTTTTTTTTTTTACTTTGTGGCACTATTGGATACTCCATGCTCATCTAGTATTTTCCCCACCTCAGCTCTAGAGTCAGTAATTTTTACAAGGAACCCTGGTTTCTTTTGGCCTGAATTCCTTACATTTACATTCCCAAGAACGAAAAACAAAACAAAATAACACAGATCATGAGTGAGATGAGAGAAAGTAATCCAATATCCACAGCTAACACACAACTGGAAGACAGCATACTGCAATCTCACATTAGACATAAATGGTCAAATAAACATTTGAGTCGTTCAGAATGAGCTGTGGAGTCCTCATCTGATCACTGTGTCAGCCACAGATGCCACCTCATGACTTCCTTACATCTAGCTAATTCTCCGATATGGTGTCCTTGAATATTTTCTAGCTCATATTTGCTTAATGTTTTCCTTTTGGGACATCTTGAAGTATCAAGTCTTTTATCATCTATTTCATATTTCTATTTTTAAATTTTCTATAATATGTTTCAAGTGATTTATTGCTATCTTTACATTCAACTGTGCTTTATCTGAAGCTTAATACAGACTCTGAGATTTATTATTCACTTTGGATTTATATTTCCTATTGTCAGAGTTTCAATTTTGTTACTTATCAAATATTAGTAAAGACAAAGATGGAAATAGCAGATTATATCTTGCAAAACTTAATAAAATCAGTTATTCTTTTAGTCACAATTTTTATTGTATGCATTTGTGCAAACTTTGATGTTGCTTAAATATGGATCCTCTGAAATGAAAGTATGATTCTTTGATATATTTCTAGCATTCCTTATGAAAAATAGAGCTTACAATATATATTCTGTAGGGATACCATAGATCGATAATTTGCAACTTTATAATTTTAACTACACACAAATTTGACTACAAATTTAGCACTTACCAAGCCCTTGGTCTTATCTACATGAAGCTTTGGTAATTCTGCATTTTATGCACAAGAACATTGACACCGAAGAAGGATAACATTCTATGGGTTAAAGAATAAATAAAGTAATAAAATTAGTATTCAATTCCCTTGTTAATCTGATCACAAAATCTGTGTTCCTAGTCATAATTTGTTACAATCAATAAATACTGGGTTTCTGCTATATGTTTTAACACGTAGAAGAGCCATTGTGGCCCCAAAGGGAACACAAGAAAATAAAACATATGACATATGCCTTCACAGAATTTGCATCCTATTTATGATATTTCTAACAAAGCCTAATTAATTTATTGAACCAATATTGCTATAGAGGACCAAATACGGTAAAAGTCATACCACACCATGTGGATAATACAAAGGTAGAGTCAATACACATTATCATCAAGAAGTTTGCAAAGGGAAGATTATGGAAGGTACCTATTAAAACACAAACACGAGGCAGAAAGGAATAATAGTTAAAAAGAGAGATACAGAGATCTTTTTTTCAGGTATCAATTTAATATATTTTAAACTTTTTTCCTGAAAATTTATCTGGCAATTTGGGGCACATAAAACTCACTCCATTTATAATCCATTGGCAATAGAAACTTCTCAGATTGTTTATCAAAGTTATATTAATTAATGGGTGATATGAATAATGTCTGTTCTTCTAAGCACAACATAAACTCCATGACAACAAAAACCACATTTACTGTAATATATTGTTTTCTGTTTTTCTCAGAACTTTTAAATGCCATAAAATTATGTCAAAATTAAATGTAAATGCAACTCTTCTAAAACAAAAATTTACAGTGTCACATGAGAAAAAGCAAATACATTACAGTATCTAAATCATACTTCCCCCCCACTTTTCCAAGTATTGTTTTGTTTCTATTATACAATTTGCCATACTTTTTATATTCACTCAACATACAGCAAGAAACTCCTGTTAACCTATAAATAAAAAATAATAATTCCATAATATAGAGTGGTCATCCTTTATCTTCTTTAACCAAAAACTTATTTTTAAGTATGTAATAATCATTTCCAGTTTTCATTAATATAAATGATTTGGAAGAATATTGGAATGCTCTTATATCTAGGATTTTTTGTGGGAGAACTAGATTCCCAGCATTATAATTGTAAGACCTGAGTGTGATCACTGGCATATTAAAATAGGATGATTTTCAGATTATGTAAAAATGCTTCCTGGAGGGACCTCACATATAATATTAATAAGACAGATAAAGTTTATGATTATAGTGTTTTGCAACTGAAAACATGGAAATGCTTAATGAATGAAATTACATATTTTAAAATTATATTTTATTTCTCTGTTTTCTTATATCTGAATATATTTCACAGTAAGAATTTTTGACTAATTCTAGCATTTGCAAGTTCATTCAAAGGAGAAACATTCATGCTTAGTGCAATGTGCAGTAATGAAATAAATATCCATTCAGATTCTTGTCTCTGTATTTTTCATTTTTTCTTCTAATATCACATACAGGTTTAGGTTGGAGGGGATTTGCTGAATTTTGGCATCCAATAATTGTATACTTAAAATTTACAATTTTTTTCTTTAATTTTTCTGTTATATGAGCTATTTCCTTGGGATCAATATAGGTGAGCAGCAGGAAACAAAATACTCTAGGTATGTAAAGCAGAAATGGAGTTAATGTAAAGAAGTATATACTTCTGGACATAGGGTGCAAAATCAACACATGGCCTTCTGGTAGTCGTGAGGATCAAGATCCACAACTGTAAAGACTGATCTCAAGAACAAACTGCCGTTGCTGTCATTCAGGGATCATTGCCTAGACAGCTGCTTGCGACCAAAATAGTGTGGCTTGCTTGCCAGGAACAACAGGAGACGGTTGCACCTCTTCTTAAACATGTCTCCTGCATATCACACAGATATCTGTTACTTTAGTGTGCAACTCCTACCCAAATGCAATCACAAGGCAGTAGGAAAAAAGCATTTTTAGGCTCTGCAATTTAGGAAGGCCTACCAGGAGAGATACGAAAGGAGACGGAGAACCAGCAAGCCTTATCCCACATTGGGTTCCTACTTAAGGTCTACATAATGTACTCTATGTACATAGAAAATCCAGTAAGAGAAACAACTTTTTCCAGCAAACATATTGCACTTATTCCCATTCCTTAAATATTTTCCCAAGAGATATGCTAATATCCTCTTAGCTATTTTATCCATCCATGGGTGATTATCATTATTATAATTCCAGTATCAATTTGATATCTTAAAATCTAGGAATGAAAAATTAAGAACAGCGCCAAATGTCCAACACACATCTCTTAATATGGTGATGTGGTGGGGAGGCAGGTAACTGAGGCTGGTTGTTGAGACCACAGGGGTTTCTAAGTCTGCTCAATCGCACAAAGGTCCCGTTATGGAGACGATGAGGAGTGCCAAGGAAGAAAGGCATGTTTAACAGGACATATGTCTTGTTAGGACAACAAGAAAAGCTGCCTCAAATCTCTCTCTGCCTAAGGGAAGTCATGAGCTTTCAAATGAGGGCATGTGCATTAGGGCAGGCCCTGGCGTGTCTCAGCAGGACTACAGCTCCGGGGCAGGTTGTGGAGAACCCGAATCTTGGCACCAGGAAGTCGGTCCTCAGACAAGAGTCTCAACTCATTTGTTTTGTGGAAAATCCATCATTTCAGGCTGGTTGTGGTGGCTCACACCTATAATGCCAGCACTTTGGAAGGCTGAGGCAGGAGGATCCCTTGAGGCCAAGAGACCAAGTTCATCATTTCTGAGAAAGAACTCAAAGGGTCAAGTAGTTAGTTAAGGAAGAGGATTATTAAAAAAAAAGTATAGGGGTTCATGAAGTTGGTTATAAGGCTACAGTCTCTCTATAGCCATAGTTAATATTTTAAACTTATTTCTCCTACATTTCCTTTGTTCTGTTCGTTTTCAAGATGACTAGAGTTATTTATTTAGGGGATAGAGGAGATAGAATATCTATTCCTGAGGAGTCGGAGTTCTCTTGATGCTTTGCCTCCGTTAGGGTTCCGTGATCAGTCATTATGCCTTTTCTACTTGGCATAACAGTTATTAGGAAGTGCCTTGGATTAATAATGCCCAAGCATCATTGCCCAGGTACCTTGTTGAAGAAATGTGAAATAAAATGTATTTGAAATAAAATGTATATCATCTTAAATTTGACACATAAATCTTTTCATAATTGCAACAGCTCTAAAGTAGATGTTTCTGAAATGCTGCAATTACTGGCATTTTAAAAACAAGCTGATTTCTAGAGTATAGATCGTCACAAGAGAAGGTGTCTTGGGCCTTAGCAACAAGACATCTGAAAGCATAGCTGACAACCTAAAATCCCAGAGCAGCGAGGCGTCCCACCCCGGGGAAGGGGCAGGGGTCGGGCGAAGGAGGGCGCAGGCGCGGCGGCGCGCAGGGCACGGTGGCGCAGGGGGCTGCGGTGGCGCAGGGCGCAGGGCTGCGAGGGCGCAGGGGGCTGCGAGGGTCGGGCGCAGAGGGCGAGGGGCGCAGGGGGCTGCGAGGGGCCCAGGGGCTGCGAGGGTCGGGCCAGGAGGGGCAGGGCGCAGGGCCGAGGGGCCAGGGGGCGCGAGGGCGCAGGGGTGCGAGGGGCGGGCGCAGGGGGGCAGGGCGCAGGGCGCGAGGGCGCAGGCTGCGGAGGTCGGCGCCAGGGAGGGGCGAGGGGACAGGGGCCGAGGGGCGCAGGGGCGGCGAGGCGCAGGGGCTGCGAGGGCGCAGGGGCTGGAGGGGCGAGGCGCCAGGAGGGCGCGAGGCGCAGGCAGCAGGGCGCAGGAGGGCCGGGGCAGAGGCCGGGGCGCAGGCTGGGGGGACGTAGGGGCGGGCTGGCCGAGGACGCCGGCAGGCGTCCGCGCACGGTGGTTTTCCTTCCAAAGCCTCGCCGAGCTCGCGGGACCCCGCAGGGCACAGGAGAGACTGGAGTGGGCTCCTCGCGGGCACGTGCCAGTCTGAGGGCAGGACGACGGGAGCCCCAGGGCGACGGCGGTTTCCCTCGGGCCGAGGCGGAGAGGAGCCGCGGAGAGGCTGCTAAATGTGAGGTAGGAAGGCAGCCGAGGGAACCGGAGCGTCGAGTCCGTACTGAGACGCGTTGGGGCGTTGCGAAAGCGCATGCGCCGCGGACTGAGCTCGGATTCTCTGCTGAAGCCTAAACGCAGAAGGGGGCGGAGACAGACCGCGCGGGCGTTCTGCGTCTCTCTCGCGTGAGCGCGACGCGGCGGCAGGGTCGCGCGGGGCTGGAAGAGCGCAGGTGCGGGGGCCTGCGGGGGCCTGCTGGGGCGGGCGGGAGGGGCGGGGCTGGAAGAGCGCAGGTGCAGGTGCAGGTGCGGGGGCCTGCTGGGGCGGGAGGGGCGGGAGATCCGCGATCTTAATCACAAGTTCCAGTACAGGGAAGATCCCCTACAAAGCCCAGCCCAATTCCAGACTGGATTGGTTTCCCAAACCAGGTTAAGGGCCTGACAGAGGAAAGGCATGACTTTTTCTGAGCACAAATATGACGATATGTAATACATTAACATTATTTATTTCAGTCTCCATTCTTTTACTTACAAAATGTTAACATTCACAGAAAATTTTTGAAAATATATGAAAAAAATCATTAAAATGTAGCATAGTATCAAGAGAGGAAAGAGACTGACCCAGAGATGGGGCAGAGTTGCAGAGTTTGGAATTGTCAGGCACATACACACTCACACACACACTCTCACACACTCTCAGACTCACACACTCACAGTCTCCCACTCACACAGTCACACACGCATTCACACTCACACACACACTCTCCCACTCACAGTCACACACGCAAGCTCTTTCACACACACACTCACACACATGCACTCTCACACATACACTCGCCCACTCACACACACACCTCTCACACTCATACACTCACACTTAGACGCTCACACACACACTCTCACACATACTGTCTCCCACTCACACATTCACACACTCACATACACACACACTCTCCCACTTACATGCACACATACCTCTCACACACTCCCACTCACACACACAATCTCACACACACACAAGCTTTCTCACACACACACACACACACACTGACACATACACACAGACACCCCTAGGCATAAAAATTTCACAGCAACTAGCTAAAATATATGAAGACAGGAAGACAAGAAGAAGAATGATGACTTAGTTATCAAAAACAACAAATATAACAAACAAAACACCCCAAAAGTGGAGATCAGAAGGCAATGGTAAAATGTGTTTAATGTATTGACAGAAAGTAATAGTTGTTAACCTTGAATTCTAAAGCCAGAAAAAATATTCTTCAAACATAAGACCTAAGTAAAAGTACTAGAGACAGACAAATAACAGAATTTATTCACATCCAAAACCGTACTACAAGAAATACGAATAGCAGTCCTTTAAACAAAGGGAAATGCTGCTAGATAATGTTGCAGAATGGGATGAAGATTTTCAGAAAAAAAAATAGCTGTGTATAATCATGCACACTAGAGTTCTCTCTCTCCCCTCTTTCTCTGGCAAACGTACATACACTTCTTATATTTCTCATAGTTACTCCAAATAAATTCAATACATAAAATGCAATTAAATTGCTTTCAAATCTATGTTGATTGCTTGATCTAAAAATAAATTACTATGTATTTCTTCATGAGTTAGTGCCCACACTTAATTTCCTAGTTCTGTCTGGTAAGAGTTTAAAAGAAGTGAAACATTACTAAAAATGAGCCCACCTTATGCTCAGATCTTTATGTTTACTTAACATCTCCAATAAAAGGAATTAGAGCTACTTGTGGAAGTGGCTGATTCTAGAGTTAGAAAAGTGGACATAGAAGATAAACCAGGGATATCTTGTATGGAAATAACATAAGGAATTTGAGGTGATACCTTGAGAGGTAAGTAGATTATGAAGGTGGAGCCCTTGACTGAAATTAAGGCTGAGGCAGAAATAATTTCATAAATGTTTACTGAAAGCCAAATGTGAAGATCAACCCTGAAAGACCCACCAACAAAGTTGGGAGTGTTCCAGAGTCTGCTACAGACTGGAAGGCTTTTATAAGAAAGTTTAGGAGAAAGGAGCAGGACTCTTCATTTTGGAGTTGTCCTTTTTCATTGGAGGGTACAATGCAGATTCTTTCTTTGGCCACAGATTTCAGAATACAGGCTTTGCCCTCATGACCCAATCACCTCTTCTTACACCTCACTTTCCAACACAGATGCATTGAGGATCAAGTTTCC